CCTCTTGAAAAGGGGTCGGCGGCACCCGGGCGAAGCCCTTACAATATTCCACTTCCATCTTTTCCACTTCCATCTTGCTTCCAAAGATAGAAAATTCTTGGACGGTGAAGATGGAAGTTAACATGGGACTTCTGGGACTGGCGAAAAGAACCGGTCACCTGACCCATAGTCAATCTGGTCAAACTTATATAGTGAACAAAAGTGCTCGCAAAACGACCAAATCGATGCGCTGCGGACTCATGACCCTCCTCCATAACCATTCATTTGAGCAACCGGCTTGCTGCAAGCAAGGCAGCGTGAAGCTGTGCGCCTTGGTCGGATCAAATGACCCAGTCCACTGAGAAGTTCAAATGGCCAGTGGGAGTTTCTGGAAGCCCATCTTTCTGTAGGATACACTGCATTCCGCTTCTTTTCACTTGGCACTGTTAGAGGCTCTGTGATGTTGTTGGAAGGACCTGACAAACATGGCATAGCGGCATAACTCTTCACCTTCATTTTCCAGCCAACAGAGCTCCGCCTTCCCCAAGCGCTATGTTGGCTTTGGGGTGCTGGGAGATGAAGTGCGGACGCCCAAGCCTCACGCTCACTTCCCTAAGTGTGTGAGCCCCGTTGAAAAGAGTGCTAGCAGCTGCCAGCAGCAACGATCTAAAGTCCTCACACGTTGGCCACCTGATCTTCGGCACCTGACTGGTGCAGCCTTTTTTGGTGCAAATGAATGCGGGCGTCCGAGGGTCTCCGCACAAAGAAGTCATGGAAGTACTTCAGCACAGTCTGCAATTCCTGATCTTGTGAACTCCCATGCCAAGACTTCACTTTGAGCAGGTTCTTCGCGCTAGCTTCATCTACATTCCTGCCGGGCGTCGTTCCGGCACATGTGAGGAATACCAAGGAGCTTCTAGAAAAGCACTTGGCATCATCGGACATGTCTTCAAACTCGTAGAAGACGGACTCCAAGTCCTTGATTTGCATGGGCGTCCCAGACTTTTCGTGGACATGCCACGGGTTGTTTTGACTGTATTCACCATGCAAAAGCCAAACTTTTTTGCCAGATGTGCTCTCTCGCAGGCTTCTGTGTTCATTGTCTGAGTTCCACTTTGTTGAGGTGACTTTCTCAAGCAGCTGCCGTGCCATCCAAATGGCATTCTTGGCTGCCAGAGTGGAGTGGAAGCACATCTGACAAACACCCTGCTCTTGCAGTTTCAGAAGATGGTGAAGTACATCGCAAGCAAACGGTCTAATCCGGAAGCTTTCACGTAGGTCTTGTTGACCGGTCCTATACTGGACCAGTGTGTACTTGAGATCAAGGAGGATGAAGTACACGTGGGTCTTGTCGACGATCGGAGTCTCGGTCAAGCCATTTTCCCCACCCATGTCGTCTTCGTTGCTGTGTGTCTCAATCTGCGAGCTGAGGTCCTCCGACAGGCCGTGGCTGGGGTTCAGGTGCTGGGTGATGCTGACCGGTTCCGGTTCCAGTGTCAAACTGCTATCCGTCCAAATCTCATAGTCTGCGATGTATCCGTTGCAGTATGGACAGCCACGAATATGGCAATCCTCACAAATATAGATTGCCCTGCGCACGCCTGGACAGTTCGCATAGTTACAGTAGAACCTCCGCAGGGTGGAGCTCTGGCAGTGTACGCAAGGCGTCATGGGGCGACCTAAGGTCATGCATCCAAAAGACTTGTCTTGATCGGAAACATCAACTCGTTAGTTCAACTGTCGAAACGCATGAAAGCTGAGACTGAGACTTCCGTGAGTTACCACCCTGTAAGTGCCTACAGCTTCCTTAGATGCCCAAAGCAAAGAATTGAGAATTGAATTGTTGTGACCTTTTGGCTTTCTGTTGCTGCACATAAGCTCCTCAAGTCACCATGTGGGATCATGTGCATCTGTCCTCAATTGGGGAGTCCTGAACCTGTGATTGGGTTCCCATATATGTCAAACATGTTGATGAATTTCGAGCCATCAAGTAGTTGCAACAAGGACAGGTCTGCTGTGTCGGATGAAGCCGGCTTAACCTTGTAGTCGCACACAAACAGGAACCGTCTTGCGAGTTTCATCGTTGAGTCAGCGAATGATTTCTCTTGCATACTTCCACAAGGCCTGCTAGACTAGACCATCCAAGCTGGTTGGTCTTCATGAGTAATAGATTGCTTGTGGCCTGACGGTCGGGTGGTCATGAATGCCGATGCCATAATCATACAAACAATATGTCGCTGCATAGGCCAGCCTGAATGCAAAGCAAGCCTGCTGTGGACCATGAGATTTCATGAATCTCAAGCCAGCAAACTCATGAATGCACTATCAACTATGGAACATGTTTCAATTAATTGGGCACTTCTTCAACCAAAATCCCTCCAAAATAGCTCTACTCTATACCTGCTAAAGGATCGACTAAAATGATGCGATATATGAGAACGAATCAGTACTCCCACTGTGCCAAACTTCTTCTTCAGTTTCTGAATTTTCTGAGGTTCCGTGCAACACGTAGTTCGCATAGCACTCCTGCATCACCAGTGCATCCCAAATTCCTCCCCCACCCCAATTCACTTGGTCACCCTGGGTGTTTCCCAAAAACAAAGGCGGCGCAGGAACAGCGGTCTCTCATCTCAACCGGTGCAACAGCGGTCCCTCCTCCGCGGTCCGACCTTTCTCCTCCAGTTAGAGGCTTTTGGGCTCAGGTTCTCTGGTCCTTCGCTTCGTTCCAGTGGAGCACAGCGGTTCGTTGCGCCGCTTCCGCTTCTTCGACACCTCCACATTCGGCCAGGTTCGGACCTTGGCGGTTGCGTCCGCCAAAACGAAACACATCAGCTTAACCAATCGGAATATCTAAGATCGAACACAGGAAACAAACAGAGACAAAAACAGCCAAAGCACTAGCCAAAACTGGTACCCACAGGCCAGCACTGTCTCGACTCTATCAGCATTCTTTATCTGTCCAGGAGACTGATGTTCGATCAATTTCACTGCGTCTTAAGCCTATTTGCTTCAATCTTAGGGGATGTCACCCATCAGGCCTACAAAATTCAAACAACATGCCAGGTCACGATTTCAGAGAAGCACTCCTCCAACTCGTCAGCCTTTTCAGCTCCCCTGGCCAAGTGCTCTCCGAGCAATTGGCGGTACCAAGTGACCTGCAGGGCTGTAGAACCGAGGGGAACACCATGCTGCAGGCGTTCAATCCAGCACTTGCTGCAGGTTTGGTCATGAACCCTGGAACAGCGTGACGGCATGCCTTCATATGCCTTCTCCAAAGAAACAACATCGGGAATAATTGGATAAGCCCCACACATGAAGAGGATGTCCAATGCAAATGGGGCCGGTTTACCAATCAAGAGTCTACCTTATATATATATGTCACTGCTCTCACATGACGGACTTTTCCTTCAAGGGGTTGCGCCAA